CAAGGAGGATGCTTTTAGTTGTCTAAAGCCATGCTTCTTTGATCTGGGTGTGGTGGTGCACACTTTCAATCCAGAACCAAAGAGACAGAGACAGAAGAAATTGAATTCCAGGCCAGCCAAGGCTACTACACAGGGAGACCTTCCCCAGAGTCAGTAAAAAAGCACAAAGAGTGTTTTTCTTTGAAAATGCTTTCCTGTATGAGTCTACCTGTTCAGTAATATGGCCATTTTTCATTTCTGAGATGTTCCAGCATGTTTGGAATGCTGGAACATTCGTTTGGTCCCTCGCCAGTTGGGCCTAAAGAAAATACACTCAAGAGGCTCCAAATGGATCAAAGACCTCAACATAAAGCCAGCCACACTGAACCTTATAGGAGAAATGGGAAGCACACTTGAATGCATTGGCACAGGGAACCACTTTCCTAAATATAAACCCAGTAGCACAGACACTGAAAGAAACAATGAGACATCCTGAAGCGGAGAAGTTCTGTAAAGCAAAGGACACGGTCAACAAGACAAACTGGCAGACTATGGACGGAATGGGAAAAAATCTTCACTTACCCCACATCAGACAGGTCTGATCTCCAAAATATACAAAGAACTCAAGAAATTGGACACCAAAAGATTACATAATCCAATAAAAAAAAATGGAGTACAGACCTAAACAGAGAACTCTAAATTTTAGATTCCTCTAAACAGAGGAATCTAAAATGGCTGATGGCTGAAAGATACTTAAGAAAATGTTCAACATCTTTAGTCATCAGAGAAATGCAGATCAAAACAACTCTGAGATTCCATCTGACACCTGTAAGAATGGCCAAAACCAAAAACACTGATGACAACTTATGCTGGAGAGGTTGTGGGGAAAAGGGAACACTTCTGCATTGCTGGTGGGAATGCAAGCTGGTACAACCCCTTTGGATGTCAGTGTGGAGATTTTTCAGAAAATTAGGAAACTACCTTCCTCAAGACCCAGTAATATCACTTTGGGGTATATATTCAAAGGATGCTCAATTGTGCCACAAGGACATGTGCTGAACTATGTTCATAGTAGCTTTGTTTGTCATAGCCAGAACCTGGAAACAACCTAAATGCCCCTCGATCGAAGAATGGATAAAAAAAAAAATGTGGTACATTTACACAATGGAGTACTACACAGCAGAAAAAAATAACTGCTTGAATTTTGCAGGAAAATGGATGGAACTAGAAAACATTTTTGAGTGAGGTAACCCAGACATAGAAAGACAATTATCACATGTACTCACTCATAGGTGGTTTTTAAACATAAAGCAAAGAAAGCCGGCCTACAAACCACAATCCCAGAGAATCTAGACAACAATGAGGACCCTAAGAGAGACTTACACAGATCTAATCTACATGGGAAATAGAAAGTAGAAAAAGACAAGATCTCCTGAGTAAATTGGGAGCATGGGGACCTTGGGGGAGGATTGAAGGGGGGAGGGGAGAGGCCGGGAAAGAAGCAAAGAAAAATGTAGAGCTCAATAAATATCAATTAAAAAAATAAAGAGTGGATACAGTGAAAAAAATCTGAGCTAAGAATAGATGTGTTAATCGTGCTGTGAAGTTCACACGCATGCTGAGGTGTGTATTATAATCCAGAAATGGTTATAAATGACCCACAACCCGAAGTACTGGAAGAATATTATTTTGTTTAATACTAGAGTTTTATTTTCTTAAATAGAAGTTTCATGAATTTTGATGACTCAACTCTGTCCCTCTTTTTCATAAGTCAGCATGTAAAACTACAAATATGCTAAAAGGCTCCTAACTGCCTTTTTCAACAGTGAAAAAAAAAATGAAAATAAAATAAATAATAGTGGTATTAAAGACCTGAAGCCATTTCCTTCCACATCTTACTACTTAGATTTTACTTGCCTTAGGAAACATTGACAGGACTAAAGTACCTTTTTTTTCCATTAAAAAAAAAATTTTCTAGAAAGAAAATTCACTATTGTACTTTTCTTCATAATTTAAAAGAACTCAGCAGATAGTTAATCAATACGGGGGTTTCTCAGAAAACTGGGGATTGACCCCAAGATACAATATGTCACTCTTGGCCAAAGGACAAGCATACTTGTTCACCTGTATGTCCATAGTAATTGTAATAGCTGGAAACTAAAACAACCTAGATGTCCCTGAACTGAAGAATGGAGTATTACTCAGCTCTTAAAAGCACTGGCATTAGCCAGGCAGTTTTTGGAGCGAGGCTGCTTGTTAGTCCCGGCCACCCAGCCACAAAATACCACTAAGAAAAAACCGTATTGTTTGCAATACTGTTTGGTCAAAAGCTTAAGCATATTTCTGGCTAAATTCATATCCTAAACTAACCCATCTCTATTATTCTGTATATTGCCACATGGCTGAGGCTTACCACCTAAAGTTCCCAGAGTCTGTCTTTGGCTGCTCTATGGCTTTTCCCGACTCTGCCCTTCAAAAGCGACATAGAAGGACCTTCCACACAAGGCAGTGGTGGTGTACACATTTAATTCCAGTACTTGGAGGCAGACGCAGAAGGATCTGTGAGTTCAAGGCCAGCCTAGTCTACAAGAGCTAGTTCCAGGAAAGGCTCCTCCTGTCTTAACAAAAAACAAAATAAAAAACCAAACCCAAAAGCATAACAAAAACCAAAAACACTGACATCATGACATTTGAAGGCATTGAATGGAACTATATATAATATATAATAGAGCGAGGAAACACAAAGACAGCATTCACTCATAAGTCAATTATTAGTTGTAATGTAAAGGAGAACCACCCAGCAATGGCAGTTCATGCCTTTAATTTCAGCACTTGGGAGGTAGAATCTCTGTGTACAAGGCCAGCCTGGTCTGCAGAGTGAGCACAGGACAACCAGGGCTCACTGGGTCAGGGACACTGCGGTTCGCACGTACACGCTCCAAGTTCACCTCTGGCCAGCATCTGTACCTGCTCCCCCTGCAGCTCAGCCGGCACAGGTGCATCTGATTTCAGCTGCTCTTTTTCTCGAAGAAGCTTCTCAATGCGCTGCTCCATCTCTTGCACCTTTCTCTGTAAGAGAGACCACAGGTGTCTATTCCAGTCCTTCCTTCCACAGGAGCTGCCCACCGGCTGGGAAGGTGAGCAGCTGAGTGACTGGCGCTCACTGGAGTGGCCCTGGGACACGCCAGCCAGAGCAGCTGTGCAGTGTGGAAGGTGCAACATTGACCTGTCTGACCTGTCTGCCAGTGCACACCTCCTCAGGAGAGAAAGATGAGAAGGCTATAAATTATGAGGGAAAATCAGGGGGATCTGTGAATTCAAGGTCATCCTGGTCTACAGGCCAGTTCCAGGACAGTTAGAGTGAAATCCTATCAGAGATAAAAAATGGGCCAGGAGGGAGTGAATAACCATGCTACAACATAGACTGGAGAGGTTAGATAACAAGGAAGGCTCAAGGGGGATGCTTGTTGTCACTGAAAAGGGGGGAAAATTGAAGAGATAGATGTCGTGTGGACTGAGGGTTGGTGGGGGTGGGAATGTGACAGATCAGGTGAGGGGGTGAATGGAGGATACAGAACTGAAATAAATAACTGGAAAGGGGCCAGGTAGACACCCCAGCTACGACTCTAGCGAGAGTGGGTGTGTAGCCTGAACTGCTATCTCCTGTGTGCAGCTTCCATTGGGAGGGGCTGGGACACGGCAGTGGAACATTCCCTTACACCGTGAGAAGATGTGACTGGGTTAATAAAAAACTAAATGCCCATAGCTAGGCAGGAGGTACAGGCAGGAGTACTGGACAGAGAGTTGGGGGAAGAAAAAAGGCTGAGCTGCCAAGAGACAAAAGGGAGTAAGACAGGCTGGAGGAGAGGTCACGGCCACTTATGGTTAGGGTCACGTGGTAACATGTAGATGAACTTAATTTACAGGAACCAGAGCGAGAAGTATTGTCTGAGCATTTATAATTAATAGTGAGTCTCCATGAAGTTTTGTGAGCTGGAGGCTCAGAGAAAAGTCCGACTTAGTATGATGCCCGCCCCACTTGTCAGCATCCAAATCATGACAGAGATTTAGTATGAAAATTCGGCATATAGCTTAGGCTCGTTTCGATCTAGTGCTGTTTTAGATTAATTTCTTATTTATTCATTATGCATGCAATTTTCTGCCTGCCTGTGTGCTTGCACGCCAGAAGAGGGCACCAGATGCCATAGATGGTTGATTGTGAGTCACACTATGGCTGCTGTGAATTGAACTCAGGGCCCCTGGAAGAGCAGACAGGGCTCCTAATCTCTTCCGCCTTTTCTCCAGCCACACACCCAACTAGCTCGTGGAGCTAAAATTAACCCATTTCTATTCATCTATGTGTTACCATGTGACTCCAGGCTTTGATCTCTCTCCCAACATGTCTCGTTCCCTGAGTCTTGTGGTTCCCTAGGTCTTTCTTCCCATAACTCGTAATAACAGACACATTGAAACAAATTTAAAAGGGTACAGGATGTTTTTTCTTTTTAAGAGAGGATTTAAGAAAGGAGATAAAGTTCAAGCCAAACACCAAGTAGCCCTGGGTCAGAGATAGATACTACAACCCTCACGTACATGTTCCCTGTCACCCTGTCCACCAGAAGAGGGCACCAGGTCTCATCATGGATGGTTGTGAGCTGCCATATGGTCACTGGGAACTGAATTCAAGACCTCTGTAAGAACAGGCAATGCTCTTAACCTCTCCAGCCACACCCATTTCTATTCGCCTCCGTGTTGTCTTGCGACTCATGGCATTGACCTGTCCTACAGCATGTCTTGTCTCTCTCTCTGCCTGGTGACTCCCTGTCTTCTCTACACAGAAATCTGTTCCTCAGGATGTCCTGCTTACACCTCCTAACTAGCCACTGAATGTTCTTAAACCAATCACGCAGTGTAATCAAACATCAACAGGACAGCAACTCAACCATAACCTTCATTCAAATGAAGCAGTCTGTCCTGTCTGTGGGATGTGCTGGGGTAAGAGTGATCAACCAATGACTGTTCCAGGCTGAGATCCATGCCAGGATACTGAGCCCACCCCTCATATTGTCTAGAGTGCCATGACCGAGGTAGGATGGCCAAGAGATCAAGTGTCTTAGAGACATCGAGTTTCCTTCTTTCCACACAGGTGCCTGTTGCCGTTGTAGGACTAGACAATTAACCCAGGGCTCACGCATGCTGGGCAAGCACTCTACTCCTAAGCCAGCCTGTCCTTTCCAAATCAAAAGGCTGTCCAAGGACCAGAGGAAAGGACACCTGCTGCTTGCACAGAGCATCTGGATTCCGGTTTCCAGCATCCGTGATGGAGTCTGCAACTCTAGCTCCAGGGGATCAGATTCACAAATGGCCTCTTCACAAATGTACAAGCAGGAAAAAAAAACACGTATTTTTGATTTGAAACAAGTTTCACTATACAACTCAGGCTGATTTAAAATGTCGTCACTATGAAGACGAGGCTAGCCTCAAATTCAGATCTGCCTTACTTCTGTCTTCCAAGTGCTGGGTATGAAAGTGTTTGCCACAACATCCTGCTAAAAATGAATTTCAGAAATACATCTAACTTCAGCTAGATGTGGTGGCTGATAGTTTTAATACTAACACCCAGGTGAGTTCAAGGCCATCCTGGTTAATATACCAAGTTGCAGGACAGCTAAAACCAGACAGTGAGACCCTGTCTCCATAAAAAACCAAACACAGAAAATCATGGGTGTAGAATGGTTGGGGTACAGGCCTGTGATCACACCATTTGAGAAACTAAGACAGGAGAGTCAAGTTCAAGGTTAACATAGGCTACATTTTAAGACCCCACTTTAAAAGCACCATTACCAGAGCTATTTATTTGTCTATTAATCCACTTGAAGATCACTGGTTCGGTGCCTGGTACAGTGGATAAAAGTCAAGTTAGTTGTTACTATTATCATAGAAATAGTAAAGAGCCTCATACATTTAATCCCAGCACTTGGGAGGCAGAACCAGTTGCACTCTGTGAGACCAGCCTTAAATCCAGTGTGCGTTCCAGGCAAGCCAGGACAGTCTCACTGGGAAACCCTGTCTTAACAACAAAAACTAGTAGCCACCATTGAAAACAATTTAAGAAAGGCACAGAATTTTTCTTTTAAAGACAGAACGTAAAAGGAGATGAATCAGGTGGTGTGAGATTCCCCTCTGTATGCTGTGATTATGTTTTGCTAACATTGGTTAATAAAGAATCTCTTTGGCCAATGACAAATTAAATAGACTGGAAAATGAAACTGGATGCAGAGAGAAAAAAGGCAGAGTCAGGTGGATGCAGAGAGAAAAAAGGCAGAGTCAGGGAGACATCCTGTAGCTGCCATCTTATAGTCTACCTGTTGTTCACTTAAACGGTGGAGGAGCTGGTCATTTTTTCTTTGTTGATGTTTCATGGTGTCTGACAATGCTTGGTTTGCTTGGTCTTTCACAATGAGCTCCTTTTTCTGTTGAGCAATTTGGGCCTAAAACAAACAGTGAATTCTACAGTAAGATATAAAGGAAAACTACCCAGCAACAATGTTACGGTCTATGTAAAGGAAGGAAGACTGTCCTAGCAATTCCCCACTGCAAAGAACCCTCACAGTGAGCCTGCTCACCAGCTCTACCCTGTAGCCTTTTCTTTGAAACAAAGGCTTGTCTTTCTTCCTAAACACAGAGCTGTTTGGCTTTATATTCTATGCTTATTGATGTTCTGCAGTGCCTCCAATGCCTCCTGCAGGACAGAAGAGGGCACCAGATCTCAATACAGATGGTTGTGAGCCACATGTGGTGGCTGGGAGTTGAACTCAGTACCTCTGGGGGAGGCATCTCTTCGGCACCAAGGCAGATGGCCAAGGACAAGTTTTAGCATGTAAGCACTGTGGCCTTCTCAGGCTCAGACATCTGAACACTTGGTCCCTAGCTGGTGGTGTCATTTGGAAAGGTTCTGGGAAGGTGACATCCTGGAGGTCGGACTTCCTGGAGGTCATACATCACTGAGCGCCCTACCAGCCTTGGCCACTTCCAGCTCTCACTGAAATACAGGCTTGCTGAAGAAGACACGTGGCTTCTTAGCTTCCTGCTTCTGCCACCATTCCTGCAGCTTGCTGCCTCCCTACCATGACAGAATCACCCCTCGGGATCATAGGCCAAACTGAACCCCCTCTTCCTAATGCTGCCTAGGACAGCGACACCTCTGCTGGCACCTTTAACTCAGTAACTATAAAATACGGAGCAGAGAATGGTATATCCAAGGAGACTGACTTAACACTAAAAATTTAAAGTGTTTTAAATCAAATTTTAGATTCCAACCATAGTTTCTCTCTCTCCTCATTCCCTCCCTCCATGCTCCCTCGGCCCCCAGGAAGAAAGGGTACTTTTACCCAGTGCTGAACCGCCAAGGCTTGTGCCATTCCACCTTGCGGGCTCTTCCCTTAAGATCCCCTTACCCTGAAGCCTTGGCCAATCTTCCCCACCCGCGGAGGCAGTGTGTTTAATTACAGTCCAAGTTAGTGTTTGTATTGGATACCAGCTCTGTGGTGGTCTTGATTGGGGGGTTCCATGATGCAACCATAAAAGTATCCCGGAGCCACATCCCCAGGCCAGATATATCCCAGGATATAAATGTGCCACAGGGCACACACAACCATTCACTACACAGGATAGTGTATGTAATTGACATCCATAAGGTCATAGAGAGTATCAGTTTTAGATGGTGTGGTTTTGTTACAATAGGAAATGTGTCGGGTTGAGGGCTTTGAGGTCCCCTATGATCAGGTTAGTTCTGTTCACTTCCTGTTGCCTGCAGATCAAGGATGTAGGACTCTCAGTTATTTCTCCAGCACCAGGTCTACCTGTATACCATGTCCCACATATGATAATGGACAAAATCTCTAAAAATGCAGCCCCCACAATTAAATATTTTTCCTTCATAAGAGTTGCTGTGGTCAGGGGGCCTCTTTACAGCAATAGAGACCTAACTAAGAAATGTAGTAATTAAAAAGAACATGGTATTTATTGGCATAAACAGACAGGAGGATCAATGGAATCAAATCAACTAAACCATCTCTATTATTCTGTATATCGAAACTTGGCTGAGGCTTACCACCTAAAGTTCCCAGAGTCTGTCTCTGGCTGCTCCATGGCTTTTCCTAACTCTGCCCTTCTCTCTCCCAGCATACAACCTAGCTTTCCCCACCTACTTCTGTTTTTCCTGCCATTGGCTCAAAGCAGTTCTTTATTCAACAATCAATAAAAGCGACATAGAAGGACCTCCCACCCCACACCAGGCAGTGGTGGTGCATACCTTTAATCCCATTCTTGGGAGGCAGACCCAGTGTCTACAATAGATAGTTATTGAAAAGGCTCCAAAGCTAAACTGTCTTGAAAAAAACAAGAAACAAAAAACCAAACCAAAAAGCCTAACAAAAACCAAAAACACTGGCATCATGAAATTTGAAGGCAATGGATGGACTATAGAGAGTGAGGTATGTAGAGGTACAAGGCGGCACCCACTCACTCGTAGATGAAAATTAGTTGTAACATAAAGAAGAACCGCCTGGTGGTGGCAGTTGAAATCTCAGGCCTCGGGAGGCAGAATCAGGTGAATCTCTGTATATATGGCCAGCCTGCTCTAGAGCGAGACACTGCGATTCTCATGGACCCCTGGCCAGCATCGGTACCTGCTCCCGCTGCAGCTTTGCCAGCGCATCTGATTTCTGCTGACGGAGGCTGGCGCACTTTTCCTTCAGCTCCTGGTTTTCTCGGAGAAGCTCCTTAGTGCGCTGCTCCATCTCTTCCACCTTTCCCTGCAAGAGAGACCACAGCCGCTCCATTCCTGCCCTTCCTTCCACAGGAACTTCCCGTCAGAGGCGCAACATTGGCGTGTGTGCCAGTGCAATCACGGAATTAAGCCTGCCTTTGTCAACTTTAGGCCATAAGTTACAAGGAAGAGACAGGCAAGTCTCTGTAAGTTTGTGGACATCCGGTCTACAAGGAGAGTTCTAGAACAGAAGAGCTGTCTGAAAAGGTGTGCCGATATCAATGCTACAACACAGAGTAGAGAGGCTAATGTAACAAGGAAGGCTCAAGCGGAAATGCATGGATCTGTATGGCAAGGGAAGACAAAGATCAAGGGTGGACTGTAGCTGGGTAGGCGTGGGAACGGGGTGGGGGATCAGGTTAGGTGGGGCAAATGGAGGGGTACAGTACTGAGAGATAACTGGAATGGGGGTACATTTTAGGGTCAGGTAGACACCCCAGCTAAGACTCTAGCAATAGCGGATGTGTAGCCTGACCTGGCTATCTCCTGTGACGAGCTAAGACTCGCAGTGGGGGCTGAGACGCTGCTGTGGAATATCCTTTACTCTGCGTCAAGATGCGGCACTGTCATAGGTTTACTAAAAACCCAAGTGGTCAATAGCGAGTCAGGGGCTATAGACAGGACTACTGGACAGAGAGCTCTGGGAGGAAGAGAGGGGGCGTCTCCAACCAGACACAGCGTGAGCAAGACATGCCGGAGGAAAGACCATGGCCCTGTGCCAACTATAGATAAACAGAAATGGAAGTTGTAGAGTCAGAGAGACATGTTCCAAGTGCACTTCTGGTCAGCAGCTGTACCTTTCTCCTCTGTGTGTCTGAGTTCAGCCGCTTCCAAATAGGGGCTATATCTTTGAGGTCCTGGTTTTCTTGGAGAAGCTCCTGGGTGCGCTGCTTCATCTCTTCCTCCTTTACCTGCAAGAGACACCACAGCCGCTCGATTCAAGTCCTTCCTGCCACAGGAGCTGCCCACCAGCTGGGAAGGTGAGCAGCTGAGTGACTGGCACTCACTGGAGTGTCCCCGGGGCACGCCAGCCAGAGCCGCTGTGTCTTGGATCAGGTGGTACAAGGGAAACTCCAGGAGTCCACACGGGGCATCCCCTCTAAGCCTCCAGCAACCGTGGATGTGTAGCCTGCACTGCCATCTCCTGTGAGCAGGCAAGACTTCCAGAGGGAGGGGCTGGGACACTGCTGTGGGACATTCCCTTACACTGTGCGAAGATGTGGCGATGTGATTGGTTTGATGAAAATCTAAAGAGCCAATAGCGAGGCAGGAGGTATAGGCAGGACGACTGGACAGAGGGAGGGCTGAAATGAATTGAAAGTCTTAGCCAGAGGGACATGCTAAACAATGACACCGAGAGACTTCTAACTATGAATAGCACAGCCTATAGCTTAGGCTTATTTCTGACTAGCCTTTTACTCATTCACATAATTTATCATGTATACAGTGTTCTGCCTGCATCTATGTCTGCACACCAGAGGAGGGCACCAGATCCCACAGATGGCTGATACCCAAACTGTAGTTGACTCAGATCTTTGACCTCTCCACCAGCAGGTGTGGTTCCCTCTGGTAGTAACTCCCTCTCTCTTCTTCTCAGAACTCTGGAGAGCAGCCACATTGGAACATTTTTAAAAGGCATCAGATATAAAAGCCAATAAATCAGGTGATGGTGGATCCCCCTTTGCATACTATGAATGTTTTTTATTTTTTATCTTAATCATAGTTTGATAAAGTATCTGTTTTGCCATATTGCAGGGCAGAATAAAGGCAGGTGGGAAAACTAAATGCAGGGAGAAAGAAGGGGGAGTCAGAGAGAACCCCTGTAGCTGGGCAAGAACACTTGAGCCACTCAGTAAGCCACCGTCTTGTGGCGGGCGATGCACAGGGTTGTAGAAATAAATTTAAGGCATAAGAGTTAGGTAGGAATATGCCTAAGTCATAGGTTAAGCAGTATTATATTTAATATAGTTTCTTTGTGATTATTTGGGCCTGAGCAGTCAGGAAACAAAGGCCCAATCTCTGATAATCAGGAGTGAAACCACACAGGAAACAGCACCGGGTCAGACACCGCATCCTCATGTACACGGTCCCAAGTTCACCCCTGGCCAGCATCTGTACCTGTTTCCTCTGCAGCTCTGCCTGCATGTATGAGTTCTGCTGACGGAGGCTGGCGCAGTTCTCCTTCAGGTGCTGGTTTTCTCGGAGAAGCTCCTGGGTGCGCTGCTCCATCTCTTCCTCCTTTTCCTGCAGAGACACCACAGCATCTCTATTCCTGCCCTTCCTTCTACAGGAGCTGTCCACCGGCTGGGAAGGTGAGCAGTTGAGTGACTGGCACTCCCTGAAGTGGCTCTGGCACATGCTAGCCAGAGCAGCAGTGTAGTGAGACAGAAGACACAAAATATTGGCATGTCTGGCAGTACAATCACAGAATTAAGTCTGCCTTTTTCAGAGAAAGACAAACAAACTTTGGGCCACAAGTTATGAAGGAGACAGGCAGATCTCTGCAAAATGTAGACATTGGATCTAGAGAAAGTTCTAGGAGAAAAGATGTTTCAAAAAAGGGGGTGGTGGTGATAATCATCCTACAACACAGACCAGAGAGGCTATGTAACAAGGAAGGTTCAAGCGGGAATGCATGGATCTGTACGGAAAGAAAGGGAAGTCAAAGATCTCAAGGGTGGGTAGCTGGGTCTCTAGCTGGGTAGGTGTGGGAACGGGGGGATCAGGTTAGGTGGGGTGAATGGAGGGGTACAGCACTGTAAGATAACTGGAATTAGGGACACATTTCTGGGTCAGGTAGACACCTCAGCAATCTAGCAATAGTGGATGCGTAGCCTGACCTGGCTATCTCCTGTGACGAGCTAAGACTCGCAGTGGGGAGCTGGGACGCTGCTGTGGAATATCCTTTACCCTGTGTCAAGATGCGGCACTGTCATAGGTTTACTAGAAACCTAAGTGGTCAATAGTGAGTCAGAGACAGGACTACTGGACAGAGAGCTCTGGGAGGACGAGAGGGGCGTCTCCAACCAGACACAGAGGGAGCAAGACATGCTGGAGACCACAGCCCTGTGTCCACAGGCAGGTAAACAGCATTAAATTGTAGGACCAGATGGATAAAACAATAGTACATAAGAAAAGGTTTCCGTCCTGCCCGTCATTTCTCAAATAAAGACACAAAGACTCTTTCTTCATCATGAAAGCTTGTCTTATAAACTCTGGCGGGTTTCTAATTAGCTTTTTTTGACATAGATCTATTTATCATGTGTGCGATTTCTTGCCATCATGCATGTAAGGCTGCGCACCAGAAGAGGGTGCCAGATCTCACTATAGACGGTTGAGAGCCACCACCTGGGTGCTAGGAACCGGAACTCATGGCCTCTGGAAGAGCAGACAGTGATTCGAACCTCTTCACCCATTTCTGTGGTCATCATCCACCTTGTTCACGTAATTAAAATTAATTCATTTCCATTCGTCTACATGTTGCCACGTGACTCGTGACTTTGACCTCTCCTCCAGCAGATCTTGTTCCCTGTGGTGCTGGCTCACTTTCTCTTCTTCCCAGAACTCAGTATCACCCACATCAAAGCATATTTTAAAAGGCACAGAATTGTTTAAGATACAATGTAAAAGGCAATAATAACATGTGATTTCGATCTCACTTTGTATGCTCTGCATTTTTTTAAACCATTGTTTAATAAAAAGAATCTGTTTTGCCCTATGGCCAGGCAGAATGTAGGTAAGTGGAAATATTAAACTGAATCCAGGGAGAAAGACAGCGGAGTCAGAGAAGTCATGTAGCACCCAAAGACAGTAACTGTGACGATACAAGGATTAATATAAATCGATAAATCTGAGAAAGAGCTAGGTAGGAATACGCCTAAGTCATTGTCCAGGCAGTGTTATAATTAAAACTATTTCTTTGTGATTATTTGGGCACAGGCAGTCAGAAAACAAAGGCACAATCAGGAGTGAATCCCAACAGAAAGTAGCACTGAGTCCGACACCACAATCCACACGCCCACGACCCCATGTGCACCCCTTACCAGCATCTGGAGCTGCTGCCTCTTTAACTCTGCCTGCCTGCGTGAGCTCAGCTTCTGCAGGCCGGCACAGCTGTCCCTCAGCTCCTGGTTTTCACGGAGAAGCGCCTCAGTGCGCTGCTCCATCTCTTGCACTTTTCCCTGCAAGAGCATCACAGAAGTCTGCCTTTGCCAGGAGAGAAAGACAATCAAACTTCAGGCCATAAGAAGTTCTGAGACAGAGGCATGGAATCTGTGTTACTGTGAGGCCAGCCTTGTTGTCTGTAGATCAAGTTCCAGGACAGCTAAGGCCCCTACAGAGAAAGCCAGTCCCCCCACATCCTCCTACAAAACGTGGGTGTGTGGAAGGGAGAAGATTGGTCTAATACAGATTAGAGGTTAGGTAAGAAGGAAGACTCAAGGGTCTTGGATCTCCCTGAAAAGAGGAAATAGACGGTATCTTCAGAGTGGGTGGGGGCTGTGTGTGGCTGGGAACATGAAGGATATGGGCACAGGTGAATGGAAGAGTGCGCTACTGAAAGAGAAGACTGAAAAGCAGGGGCATTTCAGGGTCAGGTGGTACAAGGGAAGCTCCAGGAGTCCACAAGGAGCATCCCCTCTAAGCCTCTAGCAAGAGTGGATGTGTAGCCTGAACTGCTATCTCCAGTGGGAGGGGCTGGGACACTGCTTACATTGTGTGAGGATGTGGCAATGTGATTTGTTTAATGAAGAGTTAGAGCCAATAGCAAGGCAGGAGATATAGACAGGACTACTGGACAGAGAGAGGACTGAGATGAATTGAAAAGAGTTAATTTAAGGTAGAGAAGCCAGTGGGACACTACTAAGGCAAAGACCGAGTTTTGTACTTAATACGTCTCCATGTCAAATTTTATGAACTGGAGACACAAAGGAAAGTTTGTCCGTGTATGAGGCCCGAAGCGGGGTGCAATAAGAATGTCTTTCTCTGCCCCACTTGTGAACTGCCAAACAATGACACAGACTTCTTACTCATTATGAAAGCACGACCTTAGCTTAGGCTTGTTTCTATCTAGCCTTTTTTACTTATTTACTTAATTATGTTTACAGTGTTATGCCTGTATGTATGTCTGCACACCATAAGAGGGCACCAGATCCCACAGACGGTTGAAACCCAAACTGTAGTTGCTGAGAGTTGAGATCAGACTCTGGAGGATTGGCAAGTCCTCTTTTCCTCCTTAGCCATTTCTCCAGTCTCCCCACAACTAGCTTAGACCTTAAATCGAGGTATTCGTCTACACGTGGTCATGTGATTTGTGGCTCTGACCTCTCCTCCGGCAAGTCTTGCTCTGATGCTGCTGACTCCCTCTCATCTTCCCTGAACTCAAGAGCAGCCACATTGAAACAAATTTTAAAAGGCACCGGATTTTTTTCATTAAGAGAAAATATAAAAGGGAATAAATAGGGTATATTTAGATTACCCTTTGTATGCTGTGAATGTTTTTTCAGTTTAACCATTGTTCACTACGGAAGATGTTTTCACCTATCGTAGGGCAGAATGGGAAAACTAAACCGAATGCCGGGAGCAAGAAGGTGGAGTCAGAAGTCATGTAGCTGCCAAAGACACCACAGCCTTACTCAGTAAGCCATAGCCTTATGGCGATACACACATAGAAAAAGATATAAGAGCTAGGTAGTTATACGCCTAAGTCATTGGTCAAGCAGTGTTATATTTATATAGTTTCTATGTGAATATATGAGCCAGAGCAGTCAGAAAACAAAGGTCCAATCTCTGTTTACAATCAGGAGTGAAGCCAACAGAAAAAGACTGGTGTTGGACACCACATCTTCACGTACATGATATCCCAAGTTCACCCCTGGCCAGCATCTGTACCTGCTCCCTCTGCAGCTCTGCCTGCGCCTCCGAGTTCTGCTCCTGGAGGCTGGCGCAGTTCTCCTTCAGCTCCTGGTTTTCTCGGCGAAGCTCCTCAGTGGGCTGCTCCATCTCTTCCACCTTTCCCTGCAAGAGAATCAAATAATGAAGTCTGTCTTTGCCAGGAGAGAAAGAATCAAACTTCAGTTCTGAAGGGGGGTGTGGAGAGATGACTCAGAGGTTAAAGAGCACTGACTGCTCTTCCAGAGGTCCTGAGTTCAATTCCCAGTAACCACATGGTGGCTCTTAACTATGTGTAATGA